TTGGACCCCCTTTTTGCCTTTAGAACTGCTTTAAGTCTTTGTGGCATTGATTCAACAAGGTGTTGGAACTATTAAAAGTATTATCCTGCTGGAAGTAGCTATCAGAAGATGGGTACACTGTAGTCATAAAGGGATGGCCATTTTCCTCTGACCTTTGACATCAACAAGGCATGTTCCTCCACACAACTGCTGCTCACTGGATATTTCCTCTTTTTCGGACCATTCTCTGTAATCCCTAGAGATGGTTGTGTGTAAAAATCCCAGTAGATCAGCAGTTTTTGAAATACTCAGACTGGCCCACCTGGCCAGCAACAACAATGCCACGTTTAAAGTCTCCTTTCTTCCCCATTCTGATGCTAAGTTTAAACTTCAGCAATTCGTCTTTCCCACATCTAGATTCTTAAATGCATTGAATTGCTGCCATGTGATTGGCTGATTAGCAATTTGTGTTACTAAGCAATTGAACAGGTGTACCTAATAAAGTGGCCGCTGAGTGTATGTTGTACATTCATATCAGTCCCTGATCTCAAGGAGCTTACAATTCAAGGTCCCTTGTTCACATTCATGCATACTAAGGCCAATTTAGACACAAGTCAATTAACCTGTCTTTGGAGTGTGGGAGGAAACTAGAGTACCAGGAGAAAACCCACGCAGGCACAGGGAAAACATGCAGAGTATTGCTGTGGTTGGGATTCAAGCCAAGGACCCTAGTGGTACTAAGCAGAAGTGCTAACCACTTAGCCACTGTTCTGCCCCATGCACAAAATTACGTATTTTGAGATATCCCGCCTTACAGATTTTAAAGTCCCTGCCATGCCTTTGTGGTGCACTGGGGTGCATTAGTGCACGTAAATTTACAGCATGCTATACCGTGCCTTAATGTGTATACATTCATTATGAATAAAATCTGAATGGGCTGCCAACTGTTAGGAGCCGACTGGTGGTAGCCTCTAGAGACCCACAGGCCGGAATTCCTCAGGGCGCGGAGTCTAAGCCTCAGTCTGCTGATTCACCAGGGCCCCTGATGGTGGGGATGGACTTGAAGCAGCCTGAGACCAGGTCGCGACTCCTGAGTACAACCAGCTGTGGTAGAGGCAGCTGCCAATGGCAGGTGACAGGTGAGAGCCAGATGTGAAGAGGTAGTAGCGTAGTCAGACAGGCCAGGTCGGTAACAGCAGAGGCAGACGGTACAGAGCGGCAGGCAAAAGGATAAACAGGTCATAGGCCAGGTTCAGCAGCAGGAGGTCAGACAAACAGGAGAAGGCAGAAGAGTGGTCAGACAAGCCAGGGATCAGGGCAGGAGAAGGTCACGATAATCCGGGTCAGGCAGGATCAGCAACAAAGCAATCTCAGCACTAGGAACAGGAACACAGGAATAAGACCATACGGAACTTGAGCACCACAGAGCCAGCTTTAAATAGAGCGCCCTGCGCTGTCAATGGTGACAAGCGCGCGCCTGTGTGCTCGAGTGCGCATGTGAGGCTGCAATTGCTGCCGCGGGTGCCCTGGTTTTAGCGCCCGCATGTTAGTGCGTTTAGGCACTCAGCGCATGTGCAGACCTATGCGCCGTGGCGATCCCTGACACCAACAGTGCACCCAAAAACAGACTTGACTCTTTTTTTCCTGATGCATGACTTAACCACTTGAGCTCCAGAGGATTTACCCCCCTTAATGACCACGCCTCTTTTTGCTACTCGGCGCTGCACTAATTCAACTGATAATTGCGCGGTCATGCAATGCTGCACCCAAATAAAACTTACGTCCTTTTTTTCACACAAATAGAGCTTTCTTTCGGTGTAATTTGATCATCTGTGCGCTTTTTATTTTTCACGCTATAAACAAAAAAAGGCCAAAAATGTTGAAGAAAAAACAATATTTTTTACTTTCAGCTATAAAAAATATATAGTAAACTCAAAGATAGCTATAAATTTAGGCCAAAATGTATTCTGCTCCATGTTTTTGGTAAAAAAAATCCCAATAAGTGTATATTGATTGCTTTGTGTGGAAGTTATAGCGTCTACAAACTATGGTATAAATACTGCAATTTACGCCATTTTTCTGCTATACAGCGCTGCGCTAGTTTAACGGACAATTGCGCGGTCATGCAATATGGTACATAAATGAAATTTACATTTTTTTTTCCCCCACAAATTGAGCTTTCTTTCGGTGGTATTTGATCGCCTGTGCGGTTTTAATTTTTTGCGCTATAAAAAAAAAGGCTGACAATTTTGAGGAACAAAAAACAATATTTTGGACTTTTTGCTATAAAACATGTCCAGTAAAAAAAAATGCAAAAATCAAATTTAGTCATAAATTTCTGCCAAAATGCATTCTGCGACATGTCTTTGCTAAAAAAAAAACCCGATACGTGTAAATTAATTGGTTTACGTGAAAGTTATAGCGTTTACAAATGGCGGGAAAGATACTGGGATTTTTAGGGTTTTTTTTATACTAATAATGGCGGCGATCAGCGAATTATGGCGGCGATCAGGGACTTATGGCAGTGACCAGCGACTTATGGCGGGACTGCGGCGGACATTCTGACATTGGGGGGTACTGACTTGGGGTCACTGACATCCCCAAAAACACTAATACAGTGATCAGTGCAAAAAGAAATACACTGACACTGTACTAATGGCAATGGGGAGGAAGGGGTTAACTTTATTTTGCAGGGAAGGGTTATAGGAGTGAGGGGAGTGTTTTACTAGGGGGCGGGGTGTGTACTGGGCGGGACAAGGCTGATCGAGAGAGAGAAACTGTTCTTTCTCGATCAGCTCATCCTCGAGCTGACAGGAAAGTGACAGACAGCACAGCTACTGCAGCTGTGCTCTCTGTCACTGTTTGCCGCAGATCGCCGGAACATAGCCGGTAAGGACCGGCTGTGACCCGGCGACTGACATCTGCGGCGGTGATCCGCGGGACAGATAGGGCGGCGGCGCGCCTCGCGTTTACAAAACACACGTTTTAAAACGTGGTTTTGCCTGCGAGTGCCGCCCTGCCACCGTATATCTACAGTGGCTGGGCGGCATGTAGTTAAAAAAGACTTAAAAAAGAAAAGTGTATTATAGAATACTACACCCACTGGCCACTTTATTAGATCCACCTGTTCAGTTGCTTGGTAACACAAATTGCTAATAAGCCAATCACATGGCAGCAACTCAATTCATTTAGGCATCTAGATGTGGTGAAGACGACTTGCTGAAGTTCAAACTTAGCATTAGATTGGGAAAGAAAGGGGATTTAAGTGACTTTGAACGTGGTATGGTTGTTGGTGCCAGACAGGCTGGCCTGAGTATTTAAAAAAAAAGCTGATCAGGTGAGCTTTTCACACAGAACCATCTCTAGGGTTTACAGAGAATGGTCCGAAAAAGAAAAAATATCCAGTGAGCAGCAGTTGTGTGGAGGAAAATGTCTTGTTAACCTCAGAGATCAGAGAAGAAGGGCCATCTCTGTACAGTGTACCCATGTTCTGATGGCTACTTCCAGCAGGATAATGCTTATAATAATTCCAACACCTTGTTGAATCTACGTCATGAAGAATGAAGGCAGTTCTGAAGGCAACGGGGGGGGGTCCAACACGGTACTAGCAAGGTGTACCTAATAAAGTGAGAATGAGTGTATATTTAAATGTTATGGGGCTCCAACTCGATACTAGCAAGGACCACCTAATAAAGTGGGGGTGAGTGTATATTTAAATATTATTGGGGGTCCAACCCGGTACTAGCAAGGTGCACCAAATAAAGTGGGGGTGAGTGTATATTTAAATGTTATGAGGGTCCAACCCGATACTAGCAAGGTGCGCCTAATAAAGTGGGGGTGAGTGTATATTTAAATGTTATGAGGGTCCAACCCGATACTAGCAAGGTGCGCCTAATAAAGTGGGGGTGAGTGTATATTTAAATGTTATGGGGGTCCAACCCGCTACTAGAAAGGTGCATCTAATAAAATGGGAGTGAGTGTATATTTAAATGTTATGGGGTCCAACCCGCTACTAGAAAGGCGCATCTAATAAAATGGGAGTGAGTGTATATTTAAATGTTATGGGGGTCCAACCCGCTACTAGCAAGGTGCACCTAATAAAGTGGGAGTGATTGTATATTTAAATGTTATGGGGGTCCAACCCGGTACTAGCAAGGTGCACCTAATAAAGTGGGAGTGATTGTATATTTAAATGTTATGGGGGTCCAACCCGGTACTAGCAAGGTGCACCAAATAAAGTGGGAGTGAGTGTATATTTAAATATTATTGGGGGTCCAACCCGGTACTAGCAAGGTGCACCTAATAAAGTGGGAGTGATTGTATATTTAAATGTTATGGGGGTCCAACCCGGTACTAGCAAGGTGCACCTAATAAAGTGGACGTGTATATTTAAATGTTATGGGGGGTCAAACCCGATACTAGCAAGGTGCACCAAATAAAGTGGGAGTGAGTGAATATTTAAATATTATTGGGGGTCCAACCCGGTACTAGCAAGGTGCACCTAATAAAGTGGGAGTGAGTGTATATTTAAATGTTTTGGGGGTCCAACCCGGTACTAGCAAGGTGCACCTAATAAAGTGGGAGTGAGTGTATATTTAAATGTTATGGGGGTCCAACCCACTACTAGCAAGGTGCATCTAATAAAGTGGGGGTGAGTGTATATTTAAATATTATTGGGGGTCCAACCAGGTACTAGCAAGGTGCACCTAATAAAGTGGGAGTGAGTGTATATTTAAATGTTATGGGGGTCCAACCCGGTACTAGCAAGGTGCATCTAATAAAGTGGGAGTGAGTGTATATTTAAATGTTATGGGGGTCCAACCCGGTACTAGCAAGGTGCCCCTAATAAAGTGGGGGCGAGTGTATATTTAAATATTATTGGGGGTCCAACCCGGTACTAGCAAGGTGCACCTAATAAAGTGGGAGTGAGTGTATATTTAAATGTTATATATTTTTTTTTCTTCATACAGAGCACACATAAAGGCAATGTCGACACGTTCTTCTTTTTGGGATTCAATAGCATGGCTGTATATAATCTGCTGCTTTTCATTTTGGTCCTTTTTATATACATTGTGACAGTACTTGGAAACTTTGTGATCATCATGCTGGTATTTTACAGCAAGACCCTTCATTCCCCCATGTACTTCTTCCTCTCTCAGCTCTCTATATCCGACATCATGCTGACCACTGACATTGCTCCTAACATGTTAAATATTGTCCTATATGAGAAGACCGCCATATCTTTTCCTGGTTGCATCATTCAGTATTATTTCTTTGGTTCAATTGAAACATTTGAGTGTTTCCTTCTGACGGTGATGTCCTACGACCGCTATCTAGCCATCTGCTCTCCTCTGCGTTATGTCTCCATTATGAACCCTGCGCTTTGCATTAAATTAGTTCTTGCATCCTGGCTGTTGAGTTGTTCTATAGCATTAATTATAACTGTTGGAATATGTCAGCTTGAATTCTGCGGGCCAAACACCATTGACCATTTCTACTGTGACTTCAATCCCTTGGTGGAACTTTCTTGTTCAGATACTTCCAGAGTTCAATTTGAATTGACCGTGGTGTGTTTTCCTGTGATTGTCTTACCATTCTTAGTGATAGTAATCTCATATACTTACATTGTTTTAACTATGTTAAAGATACCATCTTTTTCAGGAAAACTGAAATCGTTTTCCACTTGTAGCTCTCACCTTATAGTTGTGTTCTTGTTTTATGGAACCCTAATTGCCATGTATGTGCTTCCTAATGAAGGACAATCGCAAATGATCAAAAAGTTCATGTCGATGTTTTACACTGTTTTGACACCTTTTTTGAACCCCTTTATATACAGTTTGAGGAATAAAGAGATCAAGGGCTCTTTGAGGAATGCTTTCTATAACCAAATGATGTCTTATTTAAAAAAATCAGGTAGTTAAAATACTAGAGAGAACTAGGAAACCTAGGGGTGTGGTACTTTTAATATTTGACACCTCATCCACTCCCTCATCATATCATGACTCGACTACTGCAACTCCCGCCTCACTGGCCTGCCTCGCCGCTGGCTATCCCCTCTTCAGTCCATCCTGAATACGGCTGCCAGACTCATTCACCTTTCCAATTGCTCCATCTCCTCCACCCCCCTCTGCCAATCCCTCCACTGGCTTCCGATTGCGCAACGGATCAAATTCAAAATCCTAACACTGACGTACAAAGCTGTCTACCATACTGCCCCGAACTACATCACTGACCTAATATCCAAGTACCGCCCAGCACGCACACTCCGCTCCTCACAAGACCTCCTTCTCTCTAGTTCCCTGGTCTCCTCCTCCCATGCCCGCCTCCAGGACTTCTCCAGGGGGTCACCCATCCTCTGGAACTCCCTGCCCCAACCCATCAGATTATCACCTACTCTCCTCTCCTTTAGACGCACCCTGAAAACCAATCTCTTCAGGGAAGCCTACCCCACCCCCCGCTAACTTGCCGACCTCCTCCACTCTTCCTACCACTCCATCCCCCACAGCTATCTCCTCCTGTGCCACCATCCCCTCCCTCCTAGATTGTAAGCTCGAAAGAGCAGGGCCCTCGATCCCCTCATGTTTTGCACTGTATTGGTATTGTTCTGTCACATGTTCTGTCCCCCTTTGTAATGTACAGCGCTGAGCGAACTATTGGCGCTTTATAAATACTGTATAATAAATAATAATAATAATATTCATTCATGCATTCAAAATACAAGAGAGAAGAGTCACTGGACCTTGGGAAGAATTCTGACCTGACCATTTTTTGTGAGATGGCACTGCATTACTTTAATACATAAATGAAGATTATGTCATTTTTTTTCCCACAAATAGAGCTTTCTTCTGGTGGTATTTGATCACCTCTGCCTTTTTTTACTTTTTGCATTATAAACAAAAATAGACCAACAATTTTGAAAAAAAACACAACCTTTTTTTTTTTACTTTCTGCTATAAAATATAACCAATAAAAAAAAATTTTAAAAATCGAATTTTGTCATAAATTTAGGCCGAAATTTATTCTGCTACATATATTTTTGGTTAAAAAATCCCAATAAGCGTATATTGATTCATTTCCACAAAGTTATAGTGTCTACAAACTATGGTACATATACTGGAATATTTTATTAATCCTAGCAAAGGTGGTGATCAGCGACTTATAGCAGGACTGCAAAGTTACATTTTTACAATAATTGACACTTTGTGGGAACCAGGGAAACTAGTACAGTGATCAGTGCTTAAAATATGCACTGACACTGTACTAATGACACTGGCTGGGAAGGGGCTAACATCTGGGCTGATCAAAGAGTTAACTGTGTGCTTAACAATGTTTAGCGTGCGTACTATGTTCTGTTTTATTATTATTATTATTATTATACAGGCTTTATTTGGCGCCAACAGTTTGCGCAGCGCTTTACAATATAAGGGGGGGGGGGGGCGGTACAATTACAATACATTTCAGTACAGAAGGAATAGGAGGGCTCGTGGAGCTTACAATCTAAAGGAAGGGGGAGGTGATACAAAAGGTGATAGCTGCGGGGGATGAAATGGTGGAGGTGATTTAAGTACAGTTCTTAGGTGGGGCAGGCTTCCCTGAGGAAGTGAGTTTTCAAAGATTGCCTAAAGGCAGACAGGGTGGGGGCTGACCGGACATGCTGTGGTAGGGAGTGCCAGAGAATGAAAGAGGCTCTGGAGAAGTCCTGGAGGTGAGCGTGGGAGAAGGTGATGAGGGAGCTAAAGAGGAAGATATCATGGGAGGAACAGAGTGGGCGATTTGGGCGGTATCTGCTGATGAGGTTGGTGATGTAGCTAGGGGCAGTGTTGTGGAGGGCTTTGTAAGCTGTGGTTAGTATTTTGAATTTTATAAGTTGGGTTAGTTACTAAAAAAAATGCCACATCGCTGCTGTCTGAAGAGAGAGCTGTGTTTTCTACCAACTAGCTATGTGCTTGGTGTACACTAGGTTGTGCTTTTATTAGGGGAAGTGAAGGATTGTGTTCCCAGCTTTGCAGAGACACATGATTCTTCACTTTCCCTGTCACAATATAGCTCTGCCTTGTTTACATAGGCAGAGTTCTGTTCTGTGTCCTGCCCAACGATCAGGGGGTGCCACCAGACATCCGTTCATCGGCACTCTCACATTGGGATTTGCTGTGAATGTTCACATCAGAAGTGATCTGGCTGCAGTGAACGCATGCCCCCCTATGGCAGTAGTGCAAAATCACGTATACAGTATATACACACATTGTTTTTACACAGCAAGGGAGCCCTGTAGCAGTAAAACTGTGATAGGGAGGACCTTAAGTGGTTAAAGTAGAAGAAGTAATGGCTACAATTCTTTTTATAATTTTAGATAGCATGTGGGAGGGTTATAACCCCTGTAATTAGAGCGATTTTCCTTCACTTTCAATCCCATAGTCCAAAGAGGAAGTGCGGGAAACTCCCTCTAGAGTGAGAGAATCTCTTCTTATCACCAAAACTAGTGTTCCCATTGGAAGATCCCCTCTATCTTTGTTCTGGTGAAAACTCAAATCTCCTTAAAAGGGAAGTGTAGGTTTATTTTTTTCAAATTATACTTACCTCGGTGGATGCACCATTGGTCCGATGCTGCATCTGTCCCAGCCGGCTCTAAGGGTGAGAACTCAGAAATCACATGACCGCTGATCACTCAGTTCTTACAGCCGCTCTGAGCAGAGAGCGGGACTGTCAGTCACCGCAGTAGTCACTGGAGTGTTGGGCTGTGGAGGGGGAGGAAGTGGATGGCTCAGGCCCTCAGCAGACCATTGAGAGGCTGAGCCAGGTACCCCTCCAGACTCTGGGGTGGATCCTGACTTTAAAGTTGGGATCTTTCCCCAGCCTGGATTGGCTGAGTGACGTCATCCGACAGCAGCTTTCGGCCTGCTGTCAGCAGTCAGCACGGGGGGGGGGGGCAGCAACAAAAACTCTGACAGGGGTTCTAATCCCTTTCCACTCTATCCAAAATTTAAGAAAAAAAGTTTTACCTTTAGTTATACAAATTTATCAATTGTGACTGCAATATTAGAAAACACTGTTTAATCCAGGATCTATGAAGAAGACACGTAGCCAAACAATGAAGCTGTATGATCAACTTTTAAATCATACTTAAATCTTAAAATTTTTAAATCTTACTGTACCAGGGTTGCAGTAATGTGAAGTCAGCAGAGACCGCCTGAGATTCAATCCATCTATGGGCAGGCTGGCTGTACTGAAGTTGATCCATTGATCGTCTTAAGTACAACCAGCCTGTCTGTTTTTTTTACATGTGATTACTATTGGCTGCTATATTGCCACCAGCAATAATACATTGTGTTCAAATCCCCACCAGCAGAACACAAGAGCACTGTGGGAGGGATTCCCCCATCAACACTGACTGTGTTGATGGGGGAATCAAGCATTTTTCTTTCCTGAAACCCGTGGTTGCAGGAAAGAAGATTTCTTAGTGTATGGCTGCCTTAGAGTCTTCCACCATTAGTGCTATCTGCAGAGGCGGACTGACCATTTGGAAAATCAGGCAGTGCCTGAGGGCCCGGGGTCAGTAGGGGGCCCCATGAGATGCCCCTGGTACCTTTTTCATAGGCTTTTTTGAGTTTGGGCAAGGACACAGGGTCCCCATGATTCCCTATTGCCCGGGGCCCCATGAGTTGTCAGTCCGCCCCTGGCTATCTGTGAATATAGCTAAGTTCAATAGAGGGATGGATGCCACTCAGACTAGTCCCTGGAGTCCAGTGTGGAGGGTGGCCTCAGCTGCTGCTCTGGTCATGCACTCTAATTACGTTCCGCCCCACCCACCGAGGCTTGATCACAGATCACCTCTGTGATCAAGCCCCCAATGGGTGGGGCGAAGCATGTCATCAGACTGAGACCACCCTACACACTGGACTCCAGGGACTGGTCTTAATGGCATCCATCGCTCTATGACCCATAAGTAACTGGACCAATCTACGGACGCTGCTCCCTCTTTTAATACCCTCGGGGTGATCTCCTGCTTCCTAGCTTGGTGCAGTGCCACGAGCTTTTGTACACAGTTTGCATAGATAAGTTCAAGACACAGTTAGGCAGCTATAGACCACCACGAATGGAAGAAAAGAAAATTGCTCGATTTCCAACACCGACTGTGTTGATGGTGAAATCCCTCCTGTATCACTAGTGTGTTCTACCACCGGGTAGCCTTTCCTGCCAGCAGAATGCAATAATTAATGTTGCCAGCTATAGCCGGCGGCACTAATTGGAAAAAAAAACAACAGGCGATCTGTCTATCGATCAACTCATGTACAACCAAGGTGCTCATATATGGATCAAAATTCAGCTGGTACCTGCTGAACCAAATTTCAATCCATATATGGCCGGATTTAGATGTCTTTATCAGTGAACATAATATTGACTTCAGCTCTGGAAGGTTTTTCTCCCTTCATGACCAGGCCATTGTTTTGCTATTCAGCACTTCACTACTTAAACTGGTAATTACATGGTCATGTAATGCTGTACCCAAATTAAATTTATATAATTCTTTTTCACACAATAGAGCTTTCTTTTGGTGGTATTTGATCACATCTGCGTTTTTTTTTATTTTTTGTGACATAATCGAAAAAAAAGACCAAATATTTGGAAAAAAAAAGCAATATTTTTTACTTTCTGCTATAAAATCCAATAATTGTTTTTTTCAATCTAATTTCTTTATTCATTTTGGCCAAAATGTCTTCTGCTACATATCTTTAGTAAGAATAAAAAAACAACAATAAGTGTATATTGATTGGTATGTGTGAAAGTATCAGCGTCTACAAACTATGGGATATATATCTAGAATTTTTATTTATTTACTTTTTTTATCTACTACTAATCAGCAACTTATAGTAGGCCAGTTATAGTGCGGCAGGCAATCTGACACTTTTTACATAGTTAGTCT